ATTACTTCAAAGGTTACATAATGTACAGTGACATTATGTAATTGGTTGGTGGAAATAAAACAACTTTCACCAATTAATTATATAATGTCACTTGTACATTACGTAACTCTTGATGTAACATTTAATGTAAAAGTAGAATAATCCTTGCAAAAAAATATTGATGCTCTTTTAAATAAGTATTGAACATGTTATGTTGCATGTTTTTTTTTCCTTGATATGAGAGGAAAGCCGTTAATATCTCAAAAATAGTATTTAACACTGTTGGGGTGACGCTAATGTACCATTAAATGATGGGTAGAATGAAATAACTCATTTAAGACTTGTTCGGTATAGATTAAAATTAGATTAAAATTGAAAAACTAGTCGTTATTGTTGACTTTTGTTAGACGAGTGAGACCCAATAACGACTATATTTTCAATTTTAATTGGATTTTAATTGTTACCAAACGAGCTCTTAATTCCATATTTCATTTAACATATTATCTACCATTTATATCATTTGACCTATTATCTATCATCACATTGACCGAAGTTATAGTCACAATCATGCTAAATAATATTATTCTTATTTTGTAACTACTAACATCCTAATTGGATTTTTTTACAACCACTTATTCATATTTCACAAAAAAGTATGAAAGAGTCAAGAGCAGTTCAAGTGGTGCAAAAATCTTCCACCAATAGGAAAGTCAAGTAGGGCTACTTTTCTTTGCAGTCTCAATCACTCGACTTGACTTGCAGAAGTCTCCCGCTCCCTAGGTTTACAATGCCCATGTTTGACACTTATTTTTTTTTCATTCTATTTTTTATTTTTTTTCTCTTTTTCATTTCGATCACACATTTTATCAATAAAATAATATTACACATAAATTCAAAAATTCTCCTTACTTTTTAACCATACAATCTTCCATAAATCATTATTCTAAAAATTATTTTTCAAACAAAATGGATGTCAAACAGGAGCAATATATCAATTTCGGTCTGATTCTTTTCAAGACTTGGAGCTTAAATTTCGAGAAAGAAATAATTGAATTGAGTCGATAGATATAAGTCTAAAACACTTAAAAATAAGGATGTCAACTAATATAATCGAGTCGAGTTGAAACTCAATTTGAGTTAGGCTCGAGTAAAAATGGTTCAAACATTTCTTGACCCGAGCTGAGCCGAACTTTCGTTTGACCAAAAAATCTAGGCTTGATCCGAGCCTTCGACTAGCGTCTTCTTAAACCGAGTCGGCTCGTGTGTTTTTTTTTATATATATATAGATGAAAAGAGGCAGTTTGCTACCTGTTGCTACCGCTTGCTATGGCAGCTAATACAGGCAACAATTGCTGCATGTATGTATGTATGTATATATACGGGCCCGCATGGCTCGAGCTTGGTTGACGATCCAAAATGGGGTTTGGTAGAATCGAGCCGCGAGTCAGG